TTTCCTACTTTAAGTTTGGCTAACTATAATTTCTTTTGTAATTTCTTTTCTGTTTTTGAACGACGACGGAATTTTGGTCAATAGCAAGTGAGAATTGGTCTAATAAAAAATACGAGTCCTAGTATTTTAATAGGCTTAGTTAGTTTAAAGCTTAGTTTAATTAAAGCTTGTTACGTTGATTTAATGAGATTTATATATATTTATTAAAATAATCTATTGTTGTATGTACCTATCATCATCAGCCTATCGCAGTCCACTGCTGGAGATAGGCCTCTCCCATTGCACGCCACTTAGATCGATTTTGGGCTTCTCGCATCCAGCTCCTGCCAGCCATCTTGCGCAAATCGTCACTCCACCTGGCCTGTGGGCGTCCTACACTACGTACCTACGTACTATGTACCTATAATAGTTTTTAAATTAATCAAATAAGACAAAATATACGGTGACTCGACCCCCCAATCAAACCACCAACCCGGTTTTGGGGGACAAAGAATGGAATTGTGGAGGAACGGGTGTCATTTCCCTCCAACGCAAAGGGAGGTTCAGGTGAGCTGATATGTCTAGCAGGCCGCGGCCCTACGGTTTGGTGTTGGGAAGTTTTATATATGCTAATCGGCGAAAATATTGTTAATATCGCGATACAAGATTAGCAGTTACTCTGTAGTTCGGTGTCTCTTCGTTAGATGTTGCTGTAGTATGTTTCTTCGTTTCACCGTATGTGGAAGTCGCGAAAGTAATGTCATTTTTATAAAATAAAGTTGAAGTTAAATAATAATTTAAGAAAAACGTTGATGTTATAAGATCTTTTGTTCATCCTCGTTTATTGCACCACAATAACACCAAATCCGATCAGTGCATGATTGCTGTAATTATTGCAAATATTTTATTAGTCTTCGTTTTCAACAAAGGTCTATAAACCTAATATAGATTATACATGCGAATGTGTGTGACTACGCAATTGAGCAGCAAGAGAAATAAATAGTTCTCGAGGTATAGTGATAAATTGACTTTGGACACTTTAAAGTCACATGGTGCGGGTATTCCCCAGAGTAGGGCGCCAGAGGCCGGCCCATCAGGATGGTTTTTAGCGAAAACACCACTTACCCCTGTCTCGTGCGGCCCAAAGAGCCGGTGATCTGAAAAATTTTTGGTAGGAAGTTTCTTATCGCGCGTTTCACCCTCTATGGGAGCGAAACCGAAAAATGTGTAACGATACTTTTTTCCGACACTGTAGCCAAAGTCTACCAAAAAGCGAAAGGAACTTCGTTTCGACCGGATGTCCATAGACCCCTCACGCAGTTTTCAATTTATTTACACATGTTGTACTTTTGGTGCGTTGGCGGACTTAATGCCTAACTACTCTACCTATCAACCATTGGGTGAGACAGAGAAAACAGGAAGTAGGTAAAACAAACAAAAGTTAGCAATATATACCTACTGAATGCAAAATATACTACACCTATACATATACTACACCTATACACATAGGTACATACATTACCTAATTTTCCATCCCCATCACCAACAAAAAGCCCACTTACATTTGAAGCTATATCACTTTATAGAACTTTTTGGCCCCATCGACGACCTGGTGAAGGTCGCGGGAAGCCGTTGGATACGGGCAGCACAGGACCGATTCTTGTTGCGAACTTTGGGAGAGCCCTATATCCAGCAGTAGACGTCTTGTATCTGAGATGATTACGATGATTATGATCACTTTATAGTAATATAATCGAAATATATGAAAGCTATTGAAAATGTATTTAAATGTTCCTTTATGGTACTACGTACTAAGAGCTTCTAATAAATCCAAAGTCCTGTCTTGTTACATGTCTCTCCTTATTACGCAGTGTTACATATTCAAGCCTGTATAGAATGATAGCAATCGTATCGTAGGCTTTCTCTTGTACGAGTTTCTCCGTACATTGGGTCGTGTATGATCCTATATACCAACTTAATACCTATATATAAATACAAGCTTTTGTCGTGTTAGTGTATGTAGCTTACGCTACGCTGATAATGGTGCTAATTCTGTTGTTCGAAAACTCTCTAAACTAAACTAAAAATAATAAAAAAATTGTTTCGTCCTGTCAAATAACGTTTCCTGTTCTGAAAACGCAGAATTTGGTAGGACCAAATTTTTTTTAGGGATTTGTAGTTTAGAGCGTTTTCGAATAACAGAATTAGCACCATTTGGTGTTTTTTTTTTAATCGGTTTGGTGATATAGGCGTGAAAATGTTACAAACAAACAAACTACATTTTACATTCATAATATAAGCATGGAAGTATATACGGGCATTAACGGGCCCATGATAGATATTAAATACATAAACATACACACTTTCGGGATGAATTGGGGTGGTGACAATTTGTATTCTTAATCCGTCACCACACGGTGGGTGTCGTAAGAGCCGACTAAGGGAGCAAACTAAGCACAACAGCACTGCAAAGAGAAGGAAAACTTGAAACAAACCCTATACCAACCCGTCTGGCCAGCGTGGTATAGTAGGCCAAAACCTCCTTTCTAAGGAGAGGCCTATGTCCAGCAGTGGACTAGTATAGGCTGTTGATGATGATGACACACTTTCGAATTGCCTGACGTTTCCACCAGGTTGCACTGGCCGTCGTCATAAGCTGACTGGTATAGCGGAGCGCGCAATCAGCCATCAAGTCCGTGAGGTTCCACTTAAGGCCTCTGATATCACGGCTGTCTGCCCGTTACCAACTGTACCATAAAAAAAGAAATTAAGTCAACCCATAGGAATTACATTTTATAAAAAATACCAGAAACTAGTATCTTAGGTTTGTGCCTTAAATCAGATCTGCCTCATAGACGATTTAGAATTGTTATAACGTACTATCTGTACCCTGCCACGCTTCGCTGTGCCACAATCTGGTTAAAGAAAAAAAGATAAAAACCATCTTAAAAGCGTATTGTATATCGTGTGAAAAATTTGAGCTCAATCGGTGCGGTACTTTTTGAATTTTTGAAGCGTACACAAACCAACATAACGTTTTTTCAAAGATAGATTGACGTAAACACCACTACTCTTAATTTAGCGTTACTACCGACCCCAGATATGCAATACTACACAATCAGGCAATGTCGATATGAAACGAACATAATTCTGATGTGTATCTGCGTAACCTGCTCAACTGAAATTAATTGCCGATGTCATGTCAGACTGCCAACAAGTTACAGGCGCAAGCGCAGCTCCTTGTTTTATGTTCACGGCACCGATGTTGCCAGACTAAAATAAATTAAAACGTACTTAGAGTATTGACTGTTTTTACCTGTTGCACCTGTTTTGAGAGCCCTTGCTTCGGCACAATTGGGTCGGAGTAATAAAAAAAATCGTTTATTCGAGTAAAATTTGACTCATTTGGTACAACAACAATATTTTTTTTACAAACTACGAGTATGTGAATCCTAACCACAACACAACACAGGTAGTAAGCCTGCAGCAGCGGTTCACATACACATAGTCGAGCCTGCTGGCAATGCTGGAAAACCGAAAACCGGCGCACAAACTTCCACTCCCCTGATTCTGGGGGGACGGCAACCCTACTCTTAATTGCAGGTGTGCATGGGTGGCGCTAGTCACTTACCATTAGGTAAACCATCTGCTAGTTTGCCTAAATTCTATAAAAAGGATTTATTGTTCTAAGGATATACGTTCTGCAAATAAATGTACATAGTACTAGTTGCTTACCATAAGGTGACCCGTCTGCTCGTTTGCCCCCTAATGCCATAAAAATATATAAATATATTAGCTTACTTTCAAAGATTTTCGTTCTATCCATACTAATTAATATTATAAATGAGAAAGTGTGTCTGCCTGTCTGTCTGTCTGTTACCTCTTCACGCTTAAACCGCTTAACCGATTTAGATGAAATTTGGTGTAGAGACAGTTTGAGTCTCGGGAAAAGACATAGGATAGTTTGTATCCCAGTAATCACCCTTTAGGGGGGTAAAAAGGGGGGTGCAAATTTGTATGGAGAATCAATAACCGCTAAACCCATTCAAATGAAATTTGGTATGGAGATAGTTTGACTCTTGATTAGGGACAAAGGCTTTTTACCGCGATAACCGACACACGCGGGCGAAGCCTCGGGCAAAGGCTAGTGAAATATAATTATTACTAATGAACAAGAATTAACATGATTATTAGGTATTAAATACCTGTGACCTGCCTCTGACCACAAGCAAGTTGAGTCCGTTCCACTTATCTTACAAATTATAGTGTCATCGAACACACAAAAATGTCTTTTTATGGGAATACTGCGAGTTGGTGGTCAACCGCCTTGTTAGGGGCCGATGCGGCAACGGTGTGAATAATGACACCGGGCTATGTCACGTGTCGTGACTTGACTCACGTCCTGAAGTGTGAAAAAAGCAACAAAACACGGTGAGCCGTTTCCATATTCGTCCGTAACAAAGACTTAAGGTTTTATTCACATTGATGACGTTTATATACACTACTCACAAAAATTAGGGGAACAAAAAAAAAACAATTTCTTTCGCAATTTTTGACTGGATTAGATTGAAACCGTGGCCCCTATTTTTTGCCTAAAGATACAAAAAATTGTCTTAAAGCTTTGAATTGTTTTTTTTTTATATTTTATCACCCATCAAAATCGAGCAAAATATGTTGTTATGTGGCTATAGTTTTTGTGAGTACAGTAACTAAGTACAGACTCTTACTTTTTCAGGAGTACAAATAAATACCTATAATGAATATTAGAAAGAAAAAAATATTAAGAAATTGACACCAAAACATAAGTTAGCCGCGAGACACTATAGTACAGACCGTGCGGCACAAAATAACATACTAAAAATAAATAAACTGACGGGTTTGTCAACGGGATAATTCGGGTATTAGTTTTTAAAAACAAATACTTGGGAAAAGTCAAATTATTAAAAAAAAATGAAACAGGTGGGAAAAACAAATTATTAAAAAAAAATGAAAAGGTTGTAATGTGAGAAAAAACGAAGAAAATGAGAGTTGCTGAAGTGAAATTCGTTAGTAACTTTACGAGAAAACACGCTTTTATCTCTATTTTTTTTTACCCTTTATGTGAGTCGTAGGATCTATAGATTATCAAGAAACCATCCATAAGAGTTGTGCACTAGTTATTGTTACCAAAGAACGATGTTTTACGAGTTACCTGTTTGTTCTATTGAGATTCTTGCATAAACCAGTAAATAGATTTTGGTCAAACTATTGCAGTTTGAAAGGTTATTTAAATATAGCTGCAATTTTTACTATACTTGGATGTTGATCTCATTATAAAAGAACATGTACGCGCTTAGGTTTACTCGTGAACGAAAGAAAAAAACACATAATTGGACTAATTTGCCTAGTTCAGCCCATTTGTTGGTATTTATGGTATGTCAACACTAGGTAAATGTTAAAACTATTCGTTTTAAGTTATATTGCCACCTTGTCTTCTTGTTTACCTTACTTACCTACTTGTTTACTTGCTACGTAAGTGGACCTTAAATTATATTCGCCGCAATGCTTGCCTTTAATACGCTTCTGTCTACTCCTTGTCGATAAAAGACGTGAATGTAATGTATTCAACTTCCTTTCTAACTTTTTAGTTAATACTACTAAAAAATCCTTGAATCAAATGCTCGGTATAATTGAAGGCCTTTTAAAGTTCTAGTTGAAACGGTATGGGTCGGAAAAAAGCAGTTCCCTTTATCGAATTGCGCCGTCTAAATGACTGCCAGCGAAAAAGCTTGCTGCGCCGACTGTCGATGCAGCTATTGACGCAATTGTAATAAAAAAGTAATTGTGTTAATGGTTGAATTTAAGACTGGGGTTCAGTTTTATGAATTGGATGTTACTAAGATTGCGTAAGATGATACTTCACACAATGTTGGTTGCGAATTTCAGGAAGTTAATAGACCTGTGCCTCTCACTGGATAACATTATTGCCTATTAAAATATTTGATATTTATGAACTACACAAGACAATATATTAGTATTATTAGTTATTAAATAATTTAACTAAACCATTATGCGATTTTCGAAACGTCACTAACAAATTTATCGAAATGCCTTTAAGGAAATTGTACCATATCTATCAATGATATATATCAACTGCAAGTCATTAGAAAGGCAGCAAGGGGACGACAGAACTGTACCCTTCACTGGACGATGAGCGAGCAGATGTGTGTTAAGGTACCTACTAAGGTACCTCTCTAAGTTAAGGCACGACTCAGCAGATATTTTGCTGACTAGTGATAATACAATTAAAGGATATCAATATTACTAAAAAATACTAATATTACTAGTAGTATTTTTTCTCTTAATTCACACTTCTCATACACAACCGTCTAGTCCTAAACTAGCCAGAGCCTGTGCTATCGACTAAGCAGTTAGATGATGTAGACTCTATTGATGTTAATGTTGGTCTGGTGGTTAGTGGCCCGGACTGCTAAACCGGAGGTCGTGGGTTCGATTCCCACCCAGAACCAATATTGTGTGATGAGCACGGTCATTTGTTCTGTGTCTGGGTGTAATTTATCTATAATATGTATGTGTTTAAAAATATAAAAGTATGTTTCTCAGCAGTTTGGTTAACATAGTACAGGTTCTGCCTAGTTTGGGATCAGACTACCGTGTGTGAGATGTGTCAAGTTATTATTATTATAATCAGTCTATAGACAAAGGCAATACCAGACGAATTGAGGAACCGTTCAACTGAGATCAATGTTTATAGTAATGTACTTGCCAACAGTAGCCTTGCAGTCTCCTCTAAGGTTCACTGTTTGTCTGCTTTACTCAGCTACATCAACATCAACAGCCTTTAACAGTCCACTGATGGTCATAGGCCTCTACTCAGAAAGGTTGGCCTACTATTTTACTCAGCTTAAGATGTGGTTAAAATATGAAAGTTGGTAGAAGCGTAGAAAAGTAGCGTGTGACAACGAATTTGTGTCTTGAGTTGCACAGATGTCCACGAACAGTGATAGTCATTTACCATCAGTCACATAAAAAAAGGAGAAGAATTTTAGTAACTACCTATTATTTATTTATTTCGTTGTTTAAACTCATAAGTTTTCTTTCCCCCTGCAGTAATAGCCATGGCAATGTTGTAGCCAAGAAATTCAAATGCCATAAAAATACACCTCAGTGAAAACTTTATGATGGTGAATATAATTTTGCTAATATGGTATTCTCTATTTTGTCATAGGTGGCGCCACTCCCACTTCATCCAAGATTGCTATAGAAGAGACCACAACTACGCAACTGATTTTGAAGTAAGTGTTATTTTTGAACCACGCCAGACGTTCTTTGTGGAGATATCATTAACATGATAATGCAAAGTTGGGAATCAATTGATTAATAAGTTGTTGTAATTCATTTAATTGGGACTGATACAAGTCTAAGCCTGTACTATGGTAACCACCAGACTGCTGATAAACATAGTCATATGGCTCCAAATATTTATTTATATATTGTAGATAAATTGCATTTAGTCTCACAATTATTTGTCCAGTTTGGGAATCAAAATTGGAATATTTAGCTCAGCAGTAGCGACAAGCAGACCCTAACCTAGTTTGGAAAAAAAGGGAAGAAGGAAGTCAGCAGCAGTCTAGATTACGAGATTGATCTTGTTTAAATGCATGGCAACAACTTGTATCACTTTTCATGGTCTCCATTCTATTTTGAATTCTGTACTATCTTGTAAAACAGAAGATCATATTTCAGCTCAAGTCATCATCTTCCAAAAATAAAACTTGGACCGGATCTCAGAAGCGCCAGAAAACCTAAACAACACATAAACAAGTAAGTTTCTATAGTTTCACATCCCTTTATGATCGCTTTACCGCCCTAAGGGTCGTAAAGTGATGTTATGAGATGGCAGATGCTTATATCGAAATATGAATTATGCACACCCATCCTGATGCAGAATGCCCAACAACTTAGACGAAAAATCTTCGTTTTGCACGTGGGAGAGGTATTATATTTTTTAATGCGACGACTGCACGGATGGCGTAGTGGTTTAAGCGGTCACCACGCCGCTTCTTACTACACTTTGTGTGATCCACAAATTGGTGTTCTGAGTCTGGGTGTTCTTTGTGGCCGTTTCATGTATGTTTGTAAAGTCCCCCGCCACTAAGTCACCATCAGATGACATTATCCGTGCGGTGATGGATTAAAAACATAGAGTGTCACCACCCCTATTTATCCCGCGGGTGTCGTAAGAGCCGCAAACTACGCAGGGAAACAAACAGCAAAGAGAAGGAAAACTTGACACAAACCCGTCTGGCCAGCGTGGTATAGTAGGCCAAAACGTCCTTTCTATGGACTATTAAAGGATGTTGATGATGATGATCAGATGACGTGTTGCTCGTTTGCCCTTCATAACAAAAGGAATCTCGAACACAAAGTCGTCCGAAGAACACACAACTTAAACACAAAGTTTTTCACCAGGAAGAGCTAATGAACATGATATGTTCTGGTCCAAAACGGAAAAATAAAAAAAACCTTAAACCCATTTTTTTTAAATTTCAGGTTGAAACCACCGGCCCCCTACACACCGCCTACTCCACATTTACCGACCTTAGAACTAACAAAGCCCTTCCTACCTATGATACCATACATACACAAACCCACCACTGACGCTCAAATAAAAACATTTCTGCTCAACACGGCACTACAAAACGCATTGTCAGAATCACTGAACCATCTAACACAACCACCGGCAAAAATATCTGACAAGAAAGAGGAGTTCGTCAGTGATGATGGCCAGAGCAGGAAGAGACTACACAAGTGTGACGTGGTTGGTTGTCATAAGGTGTATACTAAAAGCTCTCATTTGAAAGCGCATAAGAGGACTCATACTGGTGAGTTTCTTTTGTAGTTTATTTCATTTTTCATATTATTAGATGTTATGACTATGACTACTAGACTACGTTACTGATAATGTAGGCTTCCCATTGGTGAAAGAATTTTTAAAGTCCGTTTAGTATTTTATGCGTGAAAGCGTAACAAACAAACTCACTTTTACATTATAATATAAGTCGGTACTTAAACGCGGTAGTACACTGGATAGCAATGACCCTGGGCCACCTAAATATAGCTGAAAATCTCGGACACTAAGATATAGATATATGCTAGGTTTTTAAAATAAATCATGTTTAGTAGACAAATTAAATACTAAGAAAAATAACCTACCTCGTCATAAAACCATTTTTTTTTACTTTAAACCAAGTTTTTAATAAGATTTTTAGGACCTTTAGGCGCGTTTGGTCCAATTGGCGGTTCGCCCAATTCGCGGTTGGTCCAATTAGCGGTTGGTCCAATTCGCGGTTCGCCCAATTCGCGGTTGGTCCAATTCGCGGTTAGTCCAATCGTGGTTGACCCAATTTAATGTTTTAGTGTATGAAACAACAACATATTGGTTAAGTGCATATATATTGTCATAATAATATTGTAAGTCATAGAAAATTAGAACCATATTCATATTACACTGTCATAAGTTAAATAGTATGTCGAAGTAGAGTAATGGAGAAGCTATGCAACATTATTATATCACAATAATTATTGTACCTACCCATTTTCGCAATAAAGTAATTTGAATTTAAAGTAGTATTATACATAATTATAATCAGTTCTTATATTTTATGTCGGTATTGATTCAGGAGTCACTTTTCATATTTTGATGAAATGAATATACAGTTATTTAAGTTTAGGAGCATGCTCCTTTCCTTCTATTAAGAAATTTTGAACTCTCGAAGCATAATCGGGGGAGGGTTTTGTGTGTCATACATCTCGTCCCAAGCTGCGGGGGCAGGTTAATCCTCTAAAAAGCAGTCAGTCGCAATCTGATCCGGATTCACTGCTCTCAAGTGTTAGTAGTACGTTAGTAGGATACATAATGTCCGGGCAATTGGAATAATGACCACTACGAGTGCGGAAAATAACTGAAATGTATTTAAATTTTTAATTGACTGCAAGTTTACGTTATTAAATGAAATAACAAAGTTAATTTAACCAACTTTATATCTATGTAATGTATGTATGTTTAGCTTAGATGATAATACTATAATTTCCTATCTTATAGTTGTTCTTAATCTTGGTCTGATGAAAAAGCTAGGACCTTAAAGCCCTCGAGTTTAGGCTCAAATAGTTCGTGACGATATTCAAATAACGATAGTCTGATGATGAAGGCAGTAGAAGGAGGAAGCAGAAGTGGGTTTTAGTTCCCATTGAGGAGATATTTTTAGTTTTACTAAAATAATTTTTCAAATTCCAGGTGAAAAGCCCTATTCATGTGGTTGGGCAGGCTGCGACTGGCGTTTCGCAAGATCCGATGAACTTACACGGCACACGAGAAAACATACAGGTCATCGACCCTTCACTTGCCCTTTGTGTAGAAGATCTTTCGCAAGGTCAGACCACCTGGGACTGCATATGAGACGACACTAGTATTATCCATAATTTCCAACAGACGCAGCTGGGAAAAATATTCTATTGACATACTTTGCCCGTGGAAAGCAGAGTATGGTCAAAATGGTAACAAGCTTCAAGATCGCTTTGGAAAATGCCTGTGTTCAGCTGTTGACTTCCTTCTGTAGAAATAATGATGATAAGGTGACCAAATCATGTTAATAGGGCATTGAATATAATAGTAATATTTATATAATGACTAAACTGTTGGTTTGGTGGTTAGCGATCCTGACTGCAAACCGGAGGTCTTAGGTTCGATTTCCACTACTTGTGTGCTAGAAAAAAAATATTTAAAAGTTATTTTCGCTTTGACAACCCCAACGATTATAATAAGACAAGTTAAGTCGGTGATTTCATAGAAAAATCTTAGTTGAAAAGAAATCGATCGGTTACCATACTACCATCTTTTCACAATACAGAGAACGAAATATAATATAATTAAAAGATAATTTGACGAAATATAAGTAATTAAATTTAAAAACAATATGAAAAATTAATTATAAAAAAAACACCAAAAAATATGTGTGTTTCATAACGCTTTGGTGCTACGGACGAAACAGTCGAGACAGCTTTTGCAAGTTACAAATAAGAACTTGTGTTAATTAATAGGTATCGATTCTTAGACCTCGGTGGACTCCCAAAATCAGTTTTCATTTGTGTCGACCCCTGGGAAACCGATTTCGACCATAGGGGTCGATATCGTCCAGTTTGGGAATCCCTGATTTAAAGGTAATCTGAAATTTAAAGCTTTAAAAAAAAACAATTATAAATTTTGAAATTTTACATTAAGTGCAGTGGTAATTCTATACCATTGGGGAAAATGATGATTTCATCCAAAATTTTAAATAAACTATCCATCCCAAACTTTTTTGCAAAATACCTCTAAACGTAATGCAACATAATGAGCTTTAACGTGCTACATATAAGGCACAAACATCCCACCAATAATATTCAGTTTCAATGAATAACTAGATATTGTTATGGTGTATTTCGCAAAATCATTTATGGATAAAGTATGAAAAAAATGAAAGTAGTAAAACTTTAAAGCATACCACACTTATTACTCTCCGTGTGGTGACGTATTAAGATTACGGAGTGTCACCACCCCTATTCATCCCGTGGGTGTCGTAAGAGCCGACAAAAGGAGCAAACTACGCAGGACAACAGTACTGCAAATAGAAGGAAAACTTGAAGCAAAACCTACACCAACCAGCGTGGTATAGTAGGAGTAAACAAATTAAGGCTATTGATGATAATGACACCCATTACTCGAACATAAATAGTGTATGCAACAACTTATGTGACTATGTATTCGTATTAGGGAAGGAATAAAATCAGAATCACCTGAATTTATAAATCATAGAATCACACCGGTGAATAATTTACAAAACCACTGCGAGTTATTATTATTATTACGCTAGCTCCAGACTTGTGAAAGGTCTAAGTCTAAAAAAAGGTAAGGTCTTTGATAAAAAGAATTTTGCTTGATTTCAAAGGCATTTATCTTTGTTTTTGACCAAATCACAGACACAGGTGAAATCAATGTGACTAAAACCAATCATTTCATCATATGAATATGATTTTAAAGTAGCAATAATTTCCATGTCTAATTCCTATAGTAAGACAATTATAACAATCATAACTCATATAGTTCATAGTGTCACTTGTATGTACATCATATACAGGTTGTTACATTAGTGTAGGGTCGTATTTTAGGGTCGAATAGTCGACCCCATAAATATTATGTAGTGTTAACACTTTTATGGAAATTTGATATTTTTAGTACAGAGACACAAGGCTTAAGCAAAACCACTGGTAATTAATACAACTGGTGTTGATGAAATTTTCTCCATCTCAAAGATAAAAAGCTTAAGTTTTAAGTTCAATTTGGAGAAAATAAAATATTATTTTGTTTTGGTAAACGGTTCGTGTTATTCCTAGGGTCTACTATACGACCCTAAATTCGACCTTGCCTTTTTGTTACATCTTGTTATAAGTGATTCTATCACTATTGTGTTATAGATAATTATGACTAATTTAAAAATAATTATATTTTAAGACAAAGAAGAGACTTTATTTAACTGACAATAATGTACTTAAGGGCATTACAATGTGATCATTTGCTCAAAAGCTATGACAATAATTTATGTTTAAATATAGTTTAAGTGTATAATAAATAAGTATTAGGGATTCAAAGTGTTAGGGATCCTAAGATTTTTTACGAATTTCAATAAATATATTATAATAAATTTAAATTTATAGGGATTCTTAATATTTCTGATATATTATAATAAAATAAAGTGGCATTATCCTTAAATATTAAGGCCAGTATAATACACATTTATTATTTTAAGATATTTTTAATTATTTTTTTGTATAAGTATAATTTAGAAATGTAATTTGGCATTCTTAGCAAATTTTACTCAAATACACATTATCATTAGATCAAAGGCTTGGACTCTACAGCAAGAAAAATCATTCAAGAAGAATGAGACTCAATCTTAAAGATAAAAGTATTCGATTATGATGAAACCGGTGTAAGGTCAGCATTAGGTGTAGGTTGCGGGCAGCACAGGACCTGTTGTTGAGGAGAACCTAGAGGGAGGCCTATGTCCAGCTGTGGACATCTATTGGCTAATATATTGATGATGACAACGTGTGTTTGAGATCATTCTCTTTCTGAATGCTTAAATTTTAAGTCTAATCACCCGTTAGCCTATTAGAAGACGGGATAACAATATTTTATTTCTATATTATATGCTGTAATGCTCAAATTAGTTCCGTTGTATAAAAAAATTATAAATAATACTTACAGGGCAGTAGTGGCAATATTAGTATTATAGAAAAACTTATTTTTCCTATAGTTATACTTAATTATTAAAATTTTATCTGATGTTTTAAGATTTATTACTATTATTTTGTTTTGTTTTTAAAGTTTATTGTAATTTAATAATTAATTAAATATACATTGGATTTAGCTGTTAAATGTTAGTTATAAGATTAGAAACATTAAGTGACGTAATTTTGGGGCCAGTATTTCAGAAATTATTTAGATTAAAAAAATGTAGAAATAAAATATTTTTAGAGAAAAATGTATAATGTTAAATTCCTGTGATTTTTTTTTATTAAAAGAAAATTTAATAAAAACTTTGTAAAGTGATCTAAAAGTATAATTAGAGTATTCATAAAAGTTTAAAACATTTTAAAAATATAAATTATGATCTCAATTGGATATTTCTCTCTATTCGTTTTATAATTTGATCTCAAAAACAACTAACAATTCCTGTACTTAATTAAGTAGAAACACACATTTTATAATACATTTTTTTTTATAAAATGTAACTAAATACTTGAAGTATTTAGTTACATTTTATAATTTATAAATAGAAAAATAAATAAATCTATGAAAAAAAAAAACGAGAAAAATGTATGACATTAACTAATAGTTCTCTCTCTCTGCCCTACAACATTCCTAGTGTTTCTATTTAATAAAAAAATGTACTTAAATAACTAATTTAAAATAACGCATTTCACCGGCCAGTAAGCGTAAATGCATAACTACAATATTCATTATAAGTATTTTAAGTTCATAGTATTAAGTTAAACTATACTTAAATAATTATATATTTAGTTATCATAAATAAAAAACGGCGTAAGAACTCTATGGACACCTGGTCGGAACGAAGTTCCTTTCGCTTTTTGGTAGACATTGGCTATATATAATATATGAAATATAAAAAGATGTGAGCGTTGACACGCCAACTGAAGTGTCAGAAAAAAGTCTTGTTACACGTTTTTCGATCTCGCTCAGAGCGTGTAACGCGCGATAGGGAACTTCCTTCTAAAAAGCACATCATTTTTAGAGATTTATAAAGAACAATTTAAGATTTATAAACACCACTTAAATAGATTAGAAAAATTTGTAGTAAGGAGTCGAATTTGTTACAATCGGCTTTTCTGTCCTGTTTTATTGAACTTTTAGTAAAAGTTAATGCTATTTAAAATAAAATAAAAACTATCTTACATAGTAAATTTTGTCGATTTTTATTGTCTATGCTCTTGCAGATATATACTTTTTCATGACTCAGATTCATAAACCAGGATTTCGAGAATACGTAGTGCAGAGGCAAGGAGAACCATTAATGTTGGGGAAAATTGAAAAAGTGTCCTGCTGAATACTGAAAATGGAGGCCGCTGACGTACAATAGGCGTACAAAAAACAACGTAGACGGAGTGAAGTGTGCCGAGTTCAAATATTAGAATAAGTTTACTGTCTGAAAGTTATTACTCGTTATTTTTTTTACTGTCTGTCATTCATTGACTATTTTCGCAGTCTAGTACACAGTGTCCAATTATTATCTAAGCCAATATAAATATATCCTAGGCTACCCCAGCGCCACCCTTATCGGACGCGTTTTTACGGACACTTTTCATACACAGAGATGGTTCTCCTAGCTTGTACCCTCTATAATTACAAGGTGCAAATACCTATTGTCCGTCGAAGAGCCATGCTTCGGCACTATACATTGGTATGTCTAGATAGACTGTCAAAATAGAAAAAGCGTTGAAAAAAATATTGGAGACCAACTGTTTGTCACTAAACTTTTTTCCATTTTTATTAAGTATCTGTGAGTCCATTCGTTTTACTTTGTTTTATAGTACCTACGACGTATTATTTTATAGACTATAGAAATGGTCTAGGATAATGTAGGGTTATTAAATTATTGATTTTTATTTATTTCCTTCTATTGGTGACATGCAAAATACTTGGTGCTAAAATGTTTAATATTTTTTAAGCTCAATCTGTATAAAACTTTATATACGAGTATTTCTCGTTTCATATGATTAAAATTGTAAAAAAGTATTTGGGATTTTTTTTAACCCTGGACAGGCACACCATACCCGAGATTTTGTTTGATCGCTTGTACGATAGTAAGTATTTTCTGTTGTACAGCAACAAAACAGAAATAAAATGCGCAGTGGGCCATTCAACATCTTCTTTGTAAAAGATACCTTCTGTTTAGGTAGACTAGAGTGTAAGGATTATCTCGGGCGTTAGTAGTGGTCAAAGAAGAACTTAGGGATATAAGCAATACGTGAATGAATGGCGTAAAAAATATATACTAATACATGCATATGCATAGATGCATACGTACGTAAAAAATAAATAAAAAAGAGGAGAAACTGCAGGACAACAGCACTGCAAAGAGAAGGAAAACTTACATCCTTTACCAACCCCAGTAGGCCAAAAATACCTTTTTAAGGAGAGGATGTCCAGCAGTGGACTACTACAAGCTGTTAATGATGATGATTATAGTAAATAAACAAAAATAATCGTTAAGTTTAATAGGACGGATGGCGTAGTGGTTTAACGGTGACCTCGCCGCTTTCATCTGCGCTGAGTGTTGTGGGTTTGATACGCACATGGGACAACACTTTGTATGATCCACAAATTGTTGTTCTGAGTCTTGGTGTTCTTTGTGTCCATTTCATGTATGTATGTAAAGTCATGTGATGAAAGGACACCAATTATATACAAACATTATATTATTATACACATATATTTTAACTGGCGTGGCGCGAGCGAGCGCACGTACTAATTAATTCGAGAAAATTCATAAAATGACTTTCTGTGTATTCCGAAAGTGCACAAATTACGTTAAAAAGGTAAATAAAGACAAAGGAATAAGATACCACATGTGAGTGTATGTTTTGTTCTAAAATGCATTAATATATGTATGTACAGTTACAGGACAAATATTTTGTGCGTGCAGCATGAATATAATCTTCCTTAACATATCATTTGTAATTCAAGATTATCAGATGACCTTGACGAGTTTGAATGTTACTGTCATTTAGGAACCCAAAATATTTTACCGGATCCCAAACCCGTCCTCCCTCTGCATCTGGGCAGAGAATTCAAACGAAGGCATGCGTAGTAGTCCCTTGGCATCGGGTGATTCCTCTGTCCTTTTACTGTGCTATATCATAAAAAAGAAATTAATTTTTTAATTTAAATAAATATCACATTACATTTTTTGTCAATGTTTGTATAAAAATATGGATACAAACTAATGGAAATTAATAATCTATCCTAGGACTAAGTAGTCCAGGGTAGCAGATAACCAGTAGTTGACCAAATAACCATAATCCGCATTAAGTCATGAGGGATCGACTACACAGAAAATATAGAAATAAAACCTACTTATGTCCATTATAGACCTTATCACCCAAAGATTACTCGCTAACTTTTTTTTTAAATAGAGCTGTCAAAATTTTTAAGCACTTCAGAAGTTTTAATACATATGACAAATTCTAAGTTAAAAATTGTATAAAATGACGATAAACTTACAAAAATATACAGGAAACATTTATAGCTAGTCAAAATGGCGTACGTATTGTATATTATTTGCTGGTTTAAAATTGTGTACTTCAACGTTTTGGTTACTTATTTAGGTTTTAAAGGTGTTACAATGGGAACTAGGTATCTACAGTGCTGGTGTAATATAACAGTTTAATACTGCGAAGTTTGAGGGGGGGGGGGGGGGGGTTTCCCGCCCGTCATTTCAGGCTCCGATTGCATTACATTCAACTCGCGCGCCTATTGTACCCGATAAATAGACTAGTAAAATTATAAAAGCTAAAATTTTACCTATATGCTTAAATAAGTTATCTAATATAAAAGGAAATACTTGTTAGATGGCGTTCTAAACAGGTCAGTATATATATATATTTAGGGTTGATAGGAGTTTAACTCATAAATTAAGAAGGTAACACACTTGTGACTTGAGTTTCAGTCGTTCACGGTCGTCGGTTCTATATAAAGTTGTATGTGTTTATAAGAAGGTTTGAATACCTTAAATATTTTATCATTGGCATTATTTTCTCTTGCACTGAAATTAACAGAAATCTATTATGTCGTACAGGGTCAGCACTGAGCTCTCTATGTTTTTTTTATCTGATTCAGTTGTGCGGTATGCGAGCACTGCCTCAGCCCCTTAATGCCACAGGAGAAAACAGCCATTCGTCAAGGGTTTAGCTACCACAAGAAATGTCTTAAATGTTGTAAGTATTAACATATTAACTACTTGAGTATTTAATATAATCCATGCTTATAATTTAAAATGTGAAAGTGAGTTTGTTTGTTTTTCGCTTACGCTTTCACGACTAAATCACAACCGATTTAAAAAAATCTTTTACCAACGGAAAGCTACATTATCGGCGAGTAACATAGGCTACCTTTTACAATGAAAACCGCCATACACGCGGTCGGGACCACAGGTATAAGCTAGTATAAAAGAAAATAATAAAATACATGCCTACTTGGTAGTCTTCTTTAAAGTTGAGACAGACAGGGGGCGACTTGGTGATGAGGCGCGTGCTCACCAAAAAAAGTTGCTTTTGATGTTAACACATTTTATATTTCATATCTGCTTCCTGTTACACACTTCCGTCCATTTTCACGAAATCGCTTACACGGATTGCAGGAAATCAAGAGGAGAGATCTTAGACCAAGCGCTAGGCGCGACGCGGCTGCGTAACATCTTGTATATTGTCAACATTTATGTGCCTTTAACATAGCATTTTCAAGACATCAACAAAGCATAGCTTGACCACAGATATATTTATGTAGAAAATTTATTTTTCTCTAGCTTGTTGGTCCAGTCGTTAGTAAATTAATTTGCTAAGCTAAGAGATAAATAATTATGTGATAGTTATAGTATAATTTATCTATAATATATACGTCTTTATTCAGTATGTAAGTGTATGTCTACACTATAGTAATTTCAATAGATAAACTATTGAAATTACTATAGTGTAGACATACACTTACATACTGAATAACCGCACTGAATAATCGTATCAATTTTCATACCTGTAACTTTCCAATTAATTTTCATTTTACCCAGACGTCTGCAGCGAAACCAATCTCCATAACGCCGAAGTGTTCAAGGGTGTTATATTTTGCTTTTCATGCGCGCAAAGGATCTTCCAGGGCTGTGCATCCGCGAGGAAGACCAGACAGCAAGTCAATAGTCGGTTAAAGCGACCAAACTCGAGGTCACGAAGGTACATTACGACAACAACGTTATAAAAGTATAAAAAAAAAATGTTTAACGTTGGTGAAAAATATACACACACACTACACTCACATCTTTTATCTCGAAGAATTAGACATAGGTATATTAAACGCTGACCATAATAAAATTCCAGTCAAATTCCCTTCCAAGATTTATTTAAATAGTTACAAGAAGCCGAAACTAAGAGCAGCGTGGAAACAAAATGACACACATCACACCAGACACGCATCTGACTTTTCAACGTTGATTTTTTCAGCTATGCGAAGCAACTTATCAAAGAATTACAATCTACAAAGAAACCAACGCAACGTGACCCCACAAAGAGATCGAGATCAAAACTGCGCAGGTAAGCCATACCAGCCGACATGTTCAATGCACGATTCATCAATTCTAAAACAAAAATTGGTCCAATTTGTAACCTAGTAAGTTACCCATGAAAGGAGGGTTAGACCGCCTGACGGCTGTTGACGTAGCGACACACTCTCTTCGACCTCAAAGCGGCCAATTTATATTAAGATCATAATAACTTTCTAGGAAACGCGAAAGGAGCCGATTCCAAGAGAAACATCGGGACAGACTCTTTAATTCTGTTATAGAACGAGCCCAAATGGGTACTCAATCGACTTCGGACAGTGATCACTCCAAGGAAACTAATAAGACTGTTGTCCAAAGGTAATTATGGCCTAAATGTTTACTTCTTTATATTTTTCTTTGAACTATTTACGATTGTAGCCTGTTTAAATAAGAATAGAATGAGATGTAGCGGAAGAGAGAAGAGTAATTTTTTTGATGTAGATGGCAAACGAGCATATGGATCACCTGGTGTTAAATGACCAGCGTCTCCCACGGACACCTGCAAATCAAACTCAACAGTCACTTTACTCACTCGGTGACAAAAACAAAATAATTTTGTTAAAGTGAGCGTATGTGTACTGGATGAGGAATAGCACAACCTTGCTAAATTGAAGAAAAATATGAGATTGGAGTCATTACGTCACTTGTCATACTTACCTACTTATAGAATACCTAAGCATACCAATGTGTACGGGACGCGGACGTGGAAACACATGCTGCACCGTATAATGAACAACATACATGCATAAATAAATGTTACTTGGTCAACAAAAGCAGTGACAGAAATCAAAATATTCTTTTCTAGTTATTTTATTTAAAACTTAATGCATAATAATGTTGTACAAAGGCCGACTTAATGCCATGGGGCATTCTCTCCCTGTCAACCTTCAGGTGATAGGTCAATATGATGCAGTAGGTGCACAGATAAAATATTAAATTTTTCGTAGTTCTGGTAAATGAGAGATAAACTTACATTAATATAACGAATACAGATAAATACATTACTACATAGCTACAGTTGTCGAAGCTAAGAAGCGATGTTTTTCTTATGCCTTATCAAAATAGGATAGGTATCCAATATTTATATACTTGTAACTTTTTTTTGATATACTATTTTTTTTTTATGGATGAGTGACCCGTCTGATCGTTTGCCTGCACGTGTCACGCCTGCAACTCAAGAGTCACAAGCGCTTTGCTGGCCTTTTAGGAAGGAGTAAACTCTTTTCTTTAAGGTTTGAAGGTCGTATCGGTCCCGAAATACTCAATAATATAATAATACTATACTTTAAATATCCTTGGTTGCAGCAAACCGGCAGTGATCGCTGAACTACTTCACGTTGAGAAAGACGTTTCTTATGATGTTAGTATTACTGTTTAAATTCAATTATTACATATGGATGGTACAGAAATTTTCCTGCACATAGTACAGAACTGTCCTAACCACACCGTCTTAAATTTCTGCAAACCGTGAAGTGTTTTTCATATACTTTAAAATAAGAAAATAACCTCTTTAAAAACTAATATTGATGTTGATATGGATAGATAAGCTAATTAAAAAGTCCCTTTTCAAATCTAAAAATAATGATAAACCTATAGTTTTGTTTCTTAAATATTTTTTTGCGGCCCTCCAATCTATTTAGTCATTTTTATTAGTGGCAAAATGGCAAAAAAACAGAACGATTATAATTTCTTCATGTCCGTCCTTCTGTCCACATTATATCTCACACACAAAGTGGTAAAATAAAAAATCTTGAAAGATATTTTTTTTAGGTTCAGTACCCTCTATTAACTAAACTGAGTATGTTATTTTTATACCTATTCATCCATCCCATGATGTGCGGTGTCATTAGATAGGTCTTTAAATAATAACAAGAGTTTGTAAAGACGATTTTTTTAATTAAGGTATCCATTTGTGAGATATTATTGTTTTATTTACTGGCTGAACCGCGCATCTCCGTCTGCGTTTCTCAAAAGGAATATTTTTGCCCGGATTTTACAACATTTTTCGTTAATACTCGGTTCTTATTGGTCGTAGCATAATGTTATACAGCCTATATCCTTCCTCGATAAAAGGGCTATTGAACACTAAATAATTTTTCAATTCGAACCAATAGTTCCTAATACTGACGCGTACAAATAAACAAACGTACCTACTCTTCAGCTTAGTATATACATTTATCTTTATTTGTATAGAAATAGGATTAATAAAAATCTTGATCACTAATAATAACTAATCCATTACTTTTAGGTGCCATCTCAGAAGAGAATTAAACAACCAAGCGTTGGTGAGTTTCCTTATTAGTACATTTATTTTACCAATACCATAGCTACCATAGTACCTATTAAATACAGCTAAAAGTTATGGCTTAGGGCCAGCCCAGACCGGAAGGAGCGCAGCAGAGAGGATTGTTTTAAGACACTCGAAAATAAACTAAAACTATAAAGTGCATGCATGTTTGGAAATGACAAAAAATGCTCGCGCAGCCTTGGGCCTTGCTTGCTCCCTTAGTCAGTTATTTACACCAAAAACCAGTAAGCAGTGATCTGAGGATAATAGGTAAATTTATGTGCCTTTACTATAATATACTGATAATACTATCCCGATATAATATACCGGTAACTGAATATTCAGCTTATACTCCTAGTCCAAATATTTTTTCTGACCCAGGAATCAAATATTCCTCAGACCTCAGCACAGCAGTCGCATATGCTACCACTGCACCACCTGTAGTCCTTGTCCACCAGTCATTGTAATCTATTTTGTCTTATTGTGAAAATCGTAACATTCCTATTAAGAATACATATGGGCCCAGGTGCTGGACGCAAAGGAGTAGGATGGTAATGATTTCTAGAAGATGCAGGTCTGTGTTTTTATTACAGAGATCGGCGTAACAACAGATGTAACTCAGCTACTGTTAAAACAGATCAATGACTACATGCAACCAATGTAAGTTATTTAAATATTTAAAGCTACAAATAAGTAGAAATAGGGTTTTTCGGTATAAGATGATATTATTATACAGGGTGTAAGGGACGGCGTAACGAATACTGCAAAAGTGTATTCAGACCATTATTCTGAGTCGAAAATCATTGGGATTTTCTGCCGGATTTAGTTTTAAATACCACGATGCACAATCATTTAATCCTAAATTCATCCACTTTACTTTAACTAGAATCAGATATACTATACATCATTATAATACCACTCTAATAACATTTTCTTACAGGGTCAATTCCAGTAAACCATCTACAAAAATAAACATGATTCCTATTGACCCACACGTCTCTCCACCCATCTCTCCGCCCATCTCTAAGCCCCAGCGACCCATACCCAAGAAACGGAAACCTCACAGGAGAAGGCCCACGTCTCCGAAGCCTCCTAAGCCTGAAGTAAATAATCGTACCTTACTTTTTAGTGCTAACTTAGATGATAGCCTGTTCTTCAGTTCACATTCTACAGAAAATTTAAAATACCTAAAATGTTTTTTTTTTCTATGGAAGCGGGGGCAAACGAGCAGACGGGTCACCTGATGGAAGTGACTACCGCCACCCATGAATGCCTGTAACTCAGGAGTCACAATCGCTTTGCCAGCCTTTTAGCAAGGAGTAAGTTCTTTTCTTGAAGGTTGTATCGGTAGCTGGCATCGAATGCTATGTTCCTGAACTACAATTTTGTCCCAGATGATGCTATACTTTGACCGTGGCAGCCATACTTCAGCAAATTTTGCCGCCTCAACCGCAGTGATATCCGAAATAAGCATTTTTTTCGTTATATGTCTCTGGGAGAGCCTTACGACTATGTCCAGCAGTGGACTGCGATAGGCTGATTATGATGATGTCTCTAAGTGAGTGAGGTTGTCGGAGGCCTAAATTAATTCTGGCATGGGCGCTTGTGACTTTTGAGTTGTAGGTGTCCATGCCTGGCTGCAGTCGCCATCAACTAACCCCTCTGTTCGTTTAGCTTATATCATAAGTGACCAGCTTTTGAAGTTTTAAATCACAGTTTGACTTCACATCATGCAATTTAGTAAATGATTTTAAAAGATTATAATTAAAGGACTTCATTTTTTTTAATTCATAAGTTTTCATTAAATCAATTATGTCCAATAACGTAAGATCAAATTTATGGTAAGCCTTTTGAAATTAGCTTTAAAGCTTTTGCTTGCAGTAACAAACTGTTATCTTGTAGTCACTAGATATTCGATTTATTTTTCTAAATCAATTCGGATTTTTTTACCGCCTTTAGAATCTATTAAATGTTAATTTCTTATGTATTTATCTATGTAATGGGTATCGTGGGAAACGGAACATCCCCAAACACCACGTTTTAAAAGAAACAAATACTTTGACTTAACCATCAAAAAAACTAAAAATTCTACAACTCACCGTGGAGGTAGGTGCGAGGGGTATGCCCGCTAAATCCCTCTATAACCTGCTTAAAGATCTCGGATTGGCAAGAGCTTCAGTGAGCTCTTTTCTTGAACGAATATCCAAAGCGGCATTACTAGGCTCGTATCAAATATCGTTAGGTAGAGGGGGTAACACAGCAGACAGTGGAGGTGAACGCTGGCGCGTCTTAAGGAGTGCTCCCTAAACCTAGTCCTGGGTTGCAACTCCCAGGCACTATCGAAGTCGCATGTGTTGCCCACATCTATTACGCGATAGACCCGGCACCCGCACGGTGAATATATGGAACCCTAAGAAACAGGTCATCTATTAATTGTTAAACTGAATATTATTTTTTGCAGCAAAAACCAGTATACAGTGATCTGAGGATAGCAGGTAAGTTAATGTGTCTTTACTATAATATACTCATAATACTATCCCTATACCGGTATTACGTGAAAATTCAGCTTATAATCCTAGTCAGAGTCATCGTCATCATCAACAGCCTTTAATAGTCCACTGCTGGACACATAGTATGATGTCTTAATACTATTTATAATAAAACCAAAAAGTTTAGATGGGTGACTTGACTGCACGGATGGCGTAGTGGTTTAAGCGGTCGCCACGCCGGTTACCTCTACGCTTGAGTGTTGTGGGTCCGATCCCCACATGGGACGACACTTTGTGCGATCCACAAATTGTTGTTCTGAGTTAGGGTGTTCTTTGTGTCCGTTTCATGTATGTTTGTAAAGTCCTCCACGACACAGGATATATTCCATAATGCGGGAGTTGTATTAAAAAAAAATATATATATTTGTAAGGCAATCACATCTAAACGCCTAAACGGATTTAGATGAAAGGTAGCACAGAGATAGATTATAGTCTGGAATATTAAATAGGTTACTTTTAGCCGGCCAAATTTAATGATAAAATTTGCATTAACGCCAGTGGAGCCTATGGCAAACGCTAGTTGTTTAATATGCCTTCTTGATACTTACACCATCACTTTGAAATAAGTACAGACATATTCTTAATGAAAATTTATCAGTACCAGACGCATGCTTTAATACTTACGCATGCTAAATTAATCAGATGTTTCAATTAATCAATCAGAAAATGTGAACATTTTGAAACCACAAGCATTAATTAATTAATATCTCCACTCCTAGTACGAGTTTGAAAAATGTATAGAAAGCAATGTTTATAGGTTTCATCGAGGCCACGCAAGACTTGCTCCCTGAATTGACCATCGCAATTAGGTGTTGCAGAAATAATCGCTCTAAATGCGTTTCTGCGCTTCTAGCTTACGTAGTCTACTCCTACTGAACTTCTGTTTCTTTAAATTTCCTGTACATCTATGTGTTGTTAAAGTATAAATGGACTGTGCTTGAATGTTGGTCCCGTTGTTGGTGAAACTGACCTACCTGGGCTTATTCTGGGTCTTTGGACAAACTAAGTAGCCTATTGATTTTGTTCACACGACGTCTGGTCCCAAACTAGGCAGAGTCTTTACTATGGTAACCAGACTGCTGATAAAAATACTTATATCTAAAATCTTATATCTTATATCTACTAAAACTTATATGTTATATCTAAATACACATATATTATAAATAAAGTACACCCAAACACAGATGAATATACACATCACACTATTATTAGTCCCTGGGTAGGAATGGAACCCACGATCTCTTGCGTAGCAGTCACTAACCGCTAGACCAACAGGTCTTTGCCAAGATCAAAGAATGCCTTTTTTTTTAAGGTTTTGCGTACCAGACAAGACTTAAAATAATTGTTTCTCATTTACAGAACTTGGTGTATCAACTGAGATAGCAAACATGGCGCTACGAAAAAAATCGGAAGTTCCTGTCATAATTAAATCGGAGTAAGCGAAGCTTTTTGTTTTTTATTGAATACCTGTGTTTTTTCTTTTTTTCCCGTTCATTATTTAATAGTTCATGTCATCACAGTTAAATGGTAATTGTTAAATATAGTGAGTAAAGTTAACTTTTTACGTGTGTTTTTTCTAGCAAGCGTCCATTGGATACACGCAGTCTTTCGATACTCGATCAAGAATCTGGTAAGATTTATTTCCTAATTCCCAAATTGTCAGTATCCAGGTATATGAGAATTTACATATTTTTTTATTACTTAATTTAATAATTACTTGTTGTTACTAGTTTGGCGTTAGAATATATTAGGTTTTAAAACTATAATTATTTTGTCCTTCTGACAATTCAATTTGATGTCGGCAACATTTTGGCTGGTTTCTTTTATGGTTTCCTTAAGACCTTAATAGTTTTTAGACGGGACAAATAAAGAAGGTAAGTGGGAGTAAGGAAAACGTATGTTGGGGACCTTATTAAAGATAACAAAATATGGGCGTTCTCTGTCTACCCCTTCGGGGTATAAGCATGAATGTATATTTTAATGTTATAACTGTGCTTTTCATATTCGATCTTCGCCTTTGAATTTGCAAATCTTAATTTTTCCATTACAATCCAAACGTTATTAAAATTCTTAATTCTTGAAAGCTATGCCAATTTTTATTTATTTTGTTTATACATCGTAAACATTAGGTGCTTTGGCGGACTACCTAAGGCGTTTTCTACCAGTCAACCATTACGTCATGTAGAGAGAACAGGAATTTTAACCAAAGCTGAAATAATATTCTTTTGTAATAACATTCTAGATGAATCTGGCCACGAATGGATGGACTCTGCTTATAGCACACTCAACGAGTCAGATAAACCGTAAGTACACAATAATGGAAACGAGCTATAGTACCTATACTTTTAGGTATTAGCAATCATCTCGAAATTCCCACTACTTTTATAGTCAAGGAAAAAAACCGGTTAGGTACGAGTCGAACTCGTGCGCCGAGGGTTCCGTACCTACCCAGACTTTACGTAGATTTTTGCAAAAATTTGAAAGTAACAAAATTTACCTTAATTTTCAATTTTTTTTATTTTTTGTAATTATTCCTTTATTTGTTCTGTAAGACGTTTTTTTTGCCAAATTTCGTGATTCTAGGTCAACGGGAACTACCATATAGGTTTTCGACCCAAAACCTCTAAGGGTACTTCCGGTTGACCTAGAATTGACAGTTTTGGTTAAAAGCAAGGTCTTACAGCACAAGTAAAGAGAAAATTCTGAAAAATAAAAAAGTTGAAAATTAAGGTGTGTTTTGTTACTGACAAGTTTTCGCGAAAATTGAAATTTGTCCACATCTTTTTATCGTGTTGACTCAGGACCTTGATTTTTACACATCTAATAAGGACCATAGACTTTAGTATTTGGTATAAAATTCAACTTGCTAGGTCTACCCGTTCCTGAAAAAATCGGTGGTGACACACGGAGAGACGGACAGACGGACAAGAAAATGAAAAATCTTATAAGGGTTCCTTTTTTACCTTTTGAGGTACGGAACCCTAAAAATAACTAATCCACATGGCAAACCTAGGTTGAGACATCCTTGATTTCAGGCAAAATGAAATGAATGAACTGAACTGAATATTCTTGGAATAACTGACAAAATTATAACTAGAGAGAGCTTCTCTAGTTATAATTTTGAGAAAGAGAAGACTTCTCTTGATTTGTTACCGAGAACTGTTTACAATCTTTTTATTAACTCAAAAAAACGAAGAGGTACTCAATTCGGTGTCATTTTTATTTTTGTTAGTTCAAGACTCAAGTACTCCGTCAGTTATGAAATGATTTGTATTTTTTTCTTGGGGAGAATACACTTACCGTTTGATCTCATTGATTGAGAATTACCCATCGAAACCGATGGTTCTTAACCAGTTGAGGAGGAGGAAAAAATTATCTTTGTACGAAACCAGTTTCAAACCAGGATTGTTTTTTCTTTTTACGAAATCACGATTACGTAGTTGATTTTACTTTTTTCAAACTTAAGAATATGAGTTACTGTTTGTATAAATAAGGTTAAATAAATGTTATAGTAACAATGTTGTTGTGTTCTAGGAACTGTTTGGATAGACGATTACGGAGCATATTGAAGATACCATACAAATTTTGTAAGTAATTAAGTAATTTGTTTTAGTCACAAGAATACAGATAAGAGTTAGGAGACATAAAGGTAACTTCTATTTAAATATAACTGTGGGTAAAGTGCGTTGTGCGATCTGAATCGGACTTTATTGCGTCGGACTGAGAGTCGTTATTTATTTAATGATTATACTCAGTGGTACTTTTATAATGGTAATATTATGTAAGTTACGTAGTGTGTCCATCATTAACTTCATTGATTTTAGAAACATATTTATCCATACTTTGACATAAATCCAACGTAACATCAAGTCTACAGTACGCCTAGTAAAGAGGACTATGTCTAGTGGTGAAAGCAACCGCGAATTTTTGCTTGGATTTGGACTTACAATAAAAAATACTACAGATACATATTTACATCTAATCAACAATATATATATCTAAAAATATGACTTGACAGTATTGACAAGCATCCGTTCATACGTATTTTAGTCAGTATGCCTATTATATTTGCTGTGAAAGCGTCGAATAAAGAGTCCAACTGTGTGTCGCTACTATAAACGCTCGAATTTCACGCACACCATCATAGACATATAATTAATCTAAGCTTGTATCTCTGTTTGCTAATTCAAAAAAAACTTTCAGTTAAGAGAAACATATTAACTCGCAGTTCTCAGATAAGCGTGTTGATGAGTAGCAAGCGCGGTGGTAAAGTGTAAGTGTTAAAACCTTAATCTTATCTGATATCTCTATTACAATAGGGGCTAACATACAGCACGGTCACCTGATGGTAAATGGCCATAGGCACCCATTGAAACTGGCAACTCAAGAGACAAAGGTCCGTTGCCGGCCTTTGAGTGCGAGGGCACCTGACTTAGGTGGGAGGGTTGGTTGAGCCTCCGGTAATCTCACTCACTCAGTTAAAAGCAACGAAAGGATTTCTCTTACGCCGTTTACTACGAGGCCGTGGTTTCACTCCGGTCCAGCCGGTCCATATGTCCATAGTCCATATATGTAATAATTTTACTAAAATTCGAAGTTAATGTGAATCTCAAGTCCATTTTGAATCGTATTAAATGATCCAGCTCGAAGAACCAAATATTTGCGCAATTGGTCCTTCGAACAAGATTGTTTACGATTTAAAGTATAACTATAAATTTTCTTTCTATTTAGCAAATTATAGCCCTGCATCCTTACCAATCAGGTTCCAAGCTTTTATACGAAACTATAATTTCTTAGAACCTAATTGTTCATGGGGCGGGGCTTGGTCGATGCGTCACTATTATCTAAACGCAAATGGACTATAGGTGAAAAGCAGGATCATGTTTATAATGATGACAAATGATGATAAATACTTAGCAGTTCGTGTCAATATAAATAGGAAGTATTTTGTATAAATTTTATGGCGTCCTAAGATAATAGTTTTTATGTTCTCGAATGAGAAACTCAATTTATTTGTTTTAGAACGTTAGCGCAAAAAATCAAAATGATGTTTTATGAAGAAATTACAGAACACCGAGGTAAGTCCTTAGATTTTGCGCCCAGATTAAACAAACATAGTTTTGAATACTTTAATAATTCTTACTTTTCTTTCTTTTTTTACTTTTTAAATAATTCTGTTGCTATTAATGTGCATATTTTTATATTACAATGTGGAAACGTTGTGTGTGATGTAATAAACATTGATATCAGTGAGAACTCTTATTGCACGAGGTAAAATCAATATATACTACTTAGTTCGCCTTGATTTCGCTAGATAGCGCTTAAATAAATTTCTGATAATATACATGCCGCCACATCCTGATCAAGCTTGGTGAGTGGTCTTGTGCTTAAGAGGCTTCTGGTTCCTTTTTGTTTTTTTTTAATACGATGAGAATAGTCTATGAGTATAGTTTATGAGTATAGTTTATGTACCTGCCATTGAAAATGATAAATCAATAGTTCAACTATGAAGTAAAGTTATGACTTTATTTTAGGACGTGGGATGCAAAGACTCTACTCCACCATCAACCGAAGAAAGATACCGTACAAACTAGGATGGTAATTATATTATTATTTTATTTTTATTAGTGTGTGATAAATTATGAAAGGAGTCGTAACGACTGGCTACAAATTGTCGCCTGCGGTATTACTGAGTCGATATGACCTTCAAACCTTTAAGAAAAGAGTCTACTCTCACCTCAAACACTGGCTTGTGACTGGTAGTTACTTTCCAGGTTATTTATCTCTTCTATTACGAAAAATTAATTAGGTCAAACATGACTACCTGCTAATTTCTAGAGGATTAGAAGACAAGAGCGAACTCTTGTCTTATAATCCTCCAGAAATTATTTAAAGCCGTACTTATTATTCAGCCAAAACATTGTAAAGTTTTCGACCGCGACGGAAAGCAACTACAACAGGCGGTTTATTCAAGCTTATCATCTGTAGCCTAACTACTCGTTTCGTTATTTGCTACGAGTACTACCTAAATCGTACTCTTTTCTTTTAATTGTTTTTATTACTCTTGGGAGGACTCCTTCCTTTGGAGGGTAATTGTACAATAATGCCTCCGATATATATGAAGGATGTACGAACTACCAGACAAAATCATTATAACTAGACGAGATTTTGGATAAATTCTAGTTGGACTGTATTTAAGACTATATTTATCTTTCTTTGTGAAGGAACGATTTTGTTGGTTTTATCTCCGACGCGAATCTAGGAATATTCGACTGGCCTACGTGCCCTTTCTATTGCAATCCAATTGTTGTTCTAAAAGAAGGGAAATTGTATACTAATCAGCGCCAAATAAAACGTTGCGCGATGCAGGATTGTTATTGAATACGTAGTTCGGTTGGTTTATCATAGATGGCGTGATAGATGTTACTCCCAATGGTAACATTGCGAGTTCTTACATATTCATAAATACTATTTATTATAGGGTGGAATTTGCTGCGAGTGTGTCAGGATCTAAAAACGGGTAATACTTCTTTTCATTCGTTGTATATTAATATTAAGTAGATAATTTAATTTTACTTTTTATTACTTTTGCTTCATATCAAAAGTAGAAAAGTAATAGTTTTATTTTATAATTAGTTGTTAATGTAAAATATCGTTCCTCTCGCTTTCTCTCTCTTATTATTTTACATTTGATTTTATTCTACTTTTTCTAATCCATTACTTTACATTTTGAGATTAGATTATTAAAATATAATGTATTGTTTTGAAAGATCCCTTCTCTTATTACAGTAGAGTTCTTGATGGCACAGTCACACAAAAGAGGTAAGTTTTCTTTTCCTCTCGTTATGTAACGATACTGCCCAGATCGGTCTAGTAGTTAGTGAACCTAAGCTGGAGGTTGTCGGTTCGATTCCTACCCTCGATAAATGATTATGTGATAAGCACGATCGTTTGTTCTATATCTGGTTGTAATTTATCTATGACATATTTGTATTTAAAAATATGAAACTTTTATGTCTATCAACAATCTGGTCTGGTGTTAGAGATAGCCATTATGTTCTACCAATGAGCATGCAAAATAGAGTAAACATGTCAAAATCTAGCCTGTAACATAACATACTAACAAGTAAATTACACCCAGACACAGAACAAAATTTTATGATCATTTGTTCTGTGTCTGAGTGTAATTTATCTGTAATATATACGTATGTATGTCTATGTCATTGTTTCTGTCTAAGCTCTTAATAATTTTCTCTTACTTTACACACAAACGTCTAGTGCACAGTGTCACACATTTCAGCACCACCCTAAGGTAGACTGGAATAAAATGCCCGTGGCATTAAGTCCGCCATTGTACTCATATTTGTGCATAAAAAATTAAAATAAATAAATAAAAGATATATATAAGTATGTTTATCAATAGTCTGGTTACCATAGTATAGGTTCTGCCTAGTTTGGGATCAGACGGCCGTGTGTGAGATGTGTGAGCTATTATTATTATGTCCTATCTTTTCAGATGCAGACACCTTAATTCCCACAGCTACAAGTGCATGAGATCTCAAGCTTTAAGACTCGCTGGGCCCACTAGCAGCGAGTATGTAGTTATTTTTAAAACTTAGCAAAAAAACTTTCACGCTGTACTCGGCGCCATCTAACAAAAGCAACTTGAACTAATTTGTAGTGACTTCCTGCATCACACAATAACAATTTTCGAGATCATTTTTTAATGTGTACTGCTTCCCCACATAAAATGGTAGATCGCAACCCTCTAGTATTTTATAGGGAAGTCACAAGCATCAGATTCTAAGCTATTGAAGGTCAGAATTACTACCAGACATTACGTCTCACATCTATCACATGGTATGGCGACGCGTCGCCATGGCATGTGGCACACTATATCCCGGTTACGTAACGTCGATAACCCTACGGGCTACCCATGCGGGATGGAAAGCGATAGTATTGGACTTAAATGAGCCAATTGTGTCAAATTATGTACTCAAAGTATGTAGGCACTCAATACCCAATAATAGCATTAAATATAAGTGCCCGATTACCTTCAATAGCCTTGACCCTGTTATGTAAGTGGGACTAAAAGCAGACTATGGGAGCACAAAAACAGCACTGCTTAGAAAAGGAAAACTTGACACAAACCCTTTGCCAACCCGTTTGGCCAGCGTTGTATACTGGGCCGAAACCTTTTTTCATAGGAGAGGCCCATGTTCAGCAGTAGACTGTTAAAGACTGTTGATGATAGTCCAAGTCAAAGTTTTAGATTTTTTCATCCTCCATGTAACACTGACTGCTATGTATCTCGTGTGAGATAAAAATAGAGAACCCACTTGAGAACAGTCTTGAAATAATTGTATCTAACTTTCGCAGGTTAGCACGTATTCGAAAGAAAATCAAAAGTATTGCTGTACCCAAAGTTATGAAGACTATTGCGAATTTTTGTAAGTATTACACCACGAAAACCTTACTTTCATGTTTTTTCCCCTACTTCCGCCGAGCTCTGTAACATTTACGCTCTAAATCCTGTTTGACGAATAAGGTTAAAACAGGTTTGATCAGGTGATCAAACATCATACCATTATTATCAACCGGATAATCCGGAGCCAACCGGATAAAACGTTCGTGAGAGAGCATTGCTTCGGAACAAATGGACTGACTGACGATCGGAGTATAACCACGGCCTCACAGAAAACCGCTTTTAGCAGTTCTTCCAGTGCATTTCACTGAGCGAGTAAGACACCCGTAGCCTAAACCCCCCTCCTCTCCCCCCATTACGGGAGGAAGAGGTACTCCAATATCGACTGCACGCTTGTCAGGTCACAAGCGTGCAGTCGATATTGGAGTACCTCTTCCTCAGGCTTGCAGTAAAGTCACCTAATGGTAAGTGTCATCACTTACCATTAGGTGACTTTACTGCTCGTTTGTTGTCCATAAAAAATACTAAGAGAATTAAACCATAGTTTTTCAAGGGAAGCATATAGGGAAAAGTAAGGGTATCTATCAAAACCTATAAAAAATATGTTTATTTGTTATCAGCATAATCTCTCCAAATCCATAAGAAGATGCTGAGTCCCATTCGCTTTAACGGGCGTTTGTTATTAACCAGGACTAATAGATCAGTAGTAGTGATCAACCAAACAAACCTGACATTCAAGAAAGCCAATCAAAAGATAGATAGACTAAGGACAGCTGTAAATGTAAAATGAAAATGGATATTGTGACGAAGCTAAGTTAAGTGATGTCACAAATATCGGATAACTAAAACTGTGGTAGCTCGAAGCGATGTCTTCCATAAGATTGAAAGATACTTATTTGATCACGTTACTTCCAATGTCAGAAAAAAATAATGTTCCACCTCCTACATAAATCATAACTGGTTATAAAAGGGTCTTTTCCGTCTACTTCTAGTTATAAGTCAACCCCAAGAGGAAAATCGAATCCAACAGCTACAAAAGGACTATGATATCCAGACCGTATACCAGGCTGAAACGGCTAATCCTGCGCCACAGTGGAACAGCATGGGCAAAACTTACGTTCACTTGTATAGCATGCTTAGATGATCGTTGCTGGATTTCCAGAATCAATGGAAAGGTGCCCATTATCGCCTGCACATATTTGTAGTATAAGGAAATACATAAAAATTGAAACATTTCTTGAATAGTCTATTGTAAAATATTTATTTAAATATAAAGATATTTTATTATGTGTTTTTTACAATTTTTTAGTCAAAGTGAATATTTTGAGGCATTTGCAAGGAAAGTTGTGTGTTTCCATGTGGTGACGGATTAAGAATACCTAGAGAGTGTCACCACCCTTATTCATCCCGTGGGTGTCGTAAGAACCGATTAAGGGAGCAAACTACTTAAGTCAACAGCACTACAAAGAGAAGAAAAAATTGACACAACCCCTATAGGTACATACCAGTCTGGACAGCGTGGTATAGTAGGCCAAAACCTCCTTTTTAAGGAGAGACCTATGTCCAGCAGTGAACTGATTAAAGACTGTTGATGTGATATACATATGCAATGAAAGTATGGCACCATATGTTGTTAATTTATATTATCTCATGGCACTCAATGGCAAATTACTTGTGGTTCTGTAGTTGCTGGTATCCATGGGCGCTGGAACTTTTTATTTATTTTTGTTCAAAATTGAAGTATCTGCTTAAAATATAAAGGCAAATATCTTTTTTTGTACAAACAATAAAAAAAAGTACAGTAGAGGAAGTAACAAGAAAAGATCGGCAAAAATCGAATAGAAGCAGGAATTTCTAAAAAGGGGGCAAATCTACGAATTACTCTGGGCGTTACATTTAGGGACAAAGGCAGAAAGGGGGCAAAAACCGAACAGACCGCATTAAGTGACTCGATTGCTCGTTTGAACCTATACCATATTTACTTACTTCGGTAGCTCAGAGACCCAAAACGTGTCTTGGCCTCCGACATCAAAATATGCCATTCTTTTCTATTCTGTGCCAGTTTAGACCAATCGGGCACTTCAATTATATCTTTGGCAACCTCATCTTTCCAGTGGTATCTGGGTCGTCCCACCGGCTGCAGCCTGATAGGTTGCCCGAGTCTTTTGACGGCTTGATCCCCTCCTATTCTTTCCATGTGGCCAAGCCTGCTAACTCGGGCAGCTTTTATTTCCCCGATTATAAAAAAAAAGTAAATTGGTAAATCTGCGCAGCACCAGGCCCATTGAATATTTTTTCTACTTACTGGTGTCTCAGTCTCAGTAGAACAAGCATTCAGTAATGATATATGTTAAATAAAAAGCGATATTTAAGTGTACGTGTATCTATATATTATTGCTTTCTTAAAATTACGTAACATAACAAAAGTGACTAAAATTGCTCATCAATATCAGTTGTCTGAATGTGCACATCGTCCCTTTTTCTTCGTTTCTTAAACTTTTTCCACATTAATATGACGAAGATGATTATGAAGGGGACGGAGACTAAAGCACCTGAAACCAAAAAGCAACAGATGGTATTATTATAGAAGCAGGCAAAGAAAATCTAATTGAACATGCTGTTAATTTTGACGGGCGTGTTGATCTAGTGGTTAGTGACCTACTAGACTAACCCGCCCGTCAAAATTGACCATTGACTTCTGTCTTACCAGGGTCACTACCCTGGTAGGTCAGAGGTCATTGGCCTAGGACAAATAATTGAGTAAAGAGATAGTTCTTTCTATGTTTGGGTAAAAATATCTAATAATTATATATGTTTTGAGAAATATACAAGTATGTTTACTGTAGTACAGGCTCTGTCTAGTTTAGGATCAGACGACCGTGCGTTAGGTATCTCAATTTATTATTGTTTAGCAATAGAACCTCTTTTCGTGGCAAAACAGTGTTGGAATCAGCAAAATTCCATCACTGTTTTGTGGTGCTTTAGCATTTTTGTTAAAAGTATCTGGGAATGAAATGACTGGTAGTTTCTTTGCTTATTTTTTTTTCACAAGACAACTATTTGAAAACGAGCGATTAGATTGACACAGACAGACATAGTTTTACGTGTTTTCTTTATTTTTTGTTTTATTAAATTAACATTGAAAAAAGTACCTGATGTTGCGGCAACGATTTCAAATAATTGGTAACTAATTCAACATTTTCCACAGCGCTATCTAGATCCAAACTAGCTCATACTGTGAGTTCATAATAGACAGTAATAACAAACGAATTTGCTACCAGCAGTCGAATGCTCTGCTGCAATGATGATCCATATAATCTGACTTACTTTTGAAAATTATTGTCAATAATACTCACCAGCCATAGTGCCCAAGCTAATAAGCAAAGTGGAGTGCTCCTCCTTGCTCTTCACTTCGGAACAGGTGAGGACCTTGGAGGTTCGACTCATATATGCAAACGTGACACCCTTGAGATTGGGTGGTTCAGTGCACCTGAAATGTAAAATTGCTTAGCAAACGTATGATGAGGAACGGGCGTTATGGCCCTACACAAAGGGAGGATGCTCTGACCAAGCGAAGTGATCATGCCTGGCGGACCGCGATCCAACGGTTGATGTTGAGACTTTTCATATATATTTATCGACATGAGAACTTTTATTGCGCGATGATGCAAGGATTAGGAGTTCCTCCGTTGATCGATGTGTCTTCGTTAGATGGCACTGAAGCATAAATTTGTTTCATTTTATGTAGAAATTGCAACAGGCATATTCCTAGCGTCTAAAATATAATGTTTTGAATTCACTCCAGATCAGAAACTCCAATTTACTCCGTAGTTTCTAAAGGGTACGCATTTCCAGGCTCAATCTTAGAGACGAGTAGAAGCAAGTGCAGGATTGACTGCCAATAGCAGGTAAAAGCAAACACTGACAATTTTTTACAGTAAAATATTAACCATTTTGAAATCTTCAGCTCAAAATCAACTCACCGCATTTGATAAGTAGTTTGTCTCTGTGGTAAAGTTTTGATTAGTGGTGTTAGAACATTAACCATCCACTGGCTGTGACAGTCACACACGTAGGGATTATTGCTGAAGTCTCCGTCCGTCAGGTCGTACCAGTCGTCCAGTATTTGCGAATTAATTGTTGATAAATTGTTATTGTTTAAATGTAACTACAATATGTAAAAAAATCATTAATCATTTCGCTCAGAGAACCTTTAAGGTAAGGTAATTTAAAGACAAAATGAGTTATGATTTCAGAGTTCACTTAATAAAACTAAAATATTTGTTCACTTGCTTTTTTATTTGTATTGCCAATTCCTTTAATCTGATATATTCCCAAATATGTTCGTAAAAGCACAAGTAACTTTTTTTAGGTCGTTTTTAGAGCAATACTTGGAATCCTAAAAAACTCCTAAAATTTTCTCTATATAACGCTTTATTTTTTCTCCCACTGCTTTACTAACGGCTGTGGGAAGAAACCCTCAATAGGCAAAACCATCTTAAAATTCAATCGCTTGCACTATCAGAGCAATAACTCAAATATTATTTATCTTATTTAAACTTAATAACCTTCCTCTCACATAATAATGGCATATTATGAAATGTTAGCTGCAAAACACAAATTTGCCACATCAAATGTAAAACTTACCTCACGAAGCGTTGGCCAATATGGCACCTGGTCATCATCTCGGTATACAAGGAACTCAGGATCCAAGTACGTTAATCTCGGATTATGATTTAATCGCAGTATGTCCAATTTCACCAATCCACCGAAGCTTCCAGCGGTGATGTTCTGCAGTCTACTCATGTGGCTCAAGTGGAGTTCTTCGAGGCTCGTAAGCTTAGTGATTGGGCTGGAAGAAGAGTTTGAAAAGAAAGATTTCACCCTAATGGTAAAGTGTTTATCTTAGAACATTTGGTGATATCATTGTAGGAGTCCTTTAAATGTCTAAGGGCGGTGCATATTAGTGCGTTGCTTATGTGGCATGTCATAAAAAATATCTATGGAAAACAACGCAGTGGCGATGCTGCGAAGACGCAACGCACTAATGAGGTACCTCCCTAAGTCGGCATAAAACTAGACATGTTCAAGGTTTTTGGATAATAAAGTAAGATCAAGAACCTGTAGCATATAATATTTTAGTCAGCCGGCAACGGTACTTTTGAGTCTTAAGTGACAGAGTGTCCATGGACGGCGAGGGCTACTTATCTTCAGGTCTACTCCTCTTTTTAGTGTGAGGGTAATAAAGGACATCTTACCTACTATCCATCGACCAACCACGAACGCTTATTGGTCAAATCAAATAGTGCATTTTTTGTCCCCATCCTCAAAATAACTCCCACAGGAGAATGAGAGGAAAGAGGTTACATCAATAAAAAAGTAGGCGCTGTAGACTTTTGGAATACCAAGCGGGCTCTAAAATACACAGATATGAACTTACCCCTTAGTTTCAATATTAGTGATAGGATTTCTCTCCAAGCTCAAAAATAAAAGCTTCGGAACTTCTTGGAGAACTGATGGTACTGTTGTGAACCTATTGTTACTGAGATCTAACCATCGGAGTTTCTTTTGGTTTTTGAGTAGACCTTTAGGCAGCGTTTCCAGCTCACAGTTACTGAGCACTAAATGCTGCAAATCAGATGACGGAAATTACAGTATTCTGAAGAGTTACACAGCAGCAGAGAGATGAATGATGAATGTTCGTATAGCAATGAATCGAATGAATTATTTCTAGCAAAGGAATGGATAAATAACTTTAGTTAACTAACTAAAATTAACTTACTTCCTAGCTGTCGTATTCAGGTTTTAAAAATAAATCGTCTGATGCATTACCTAGACAGTTGTAGGATTGAACTGTATTTAATAAATAAGAGATCTTACACTAGTACTAACTACGTTTGGAATATTAAATTTTAAATAAACGAAAGTGTCAAGTGACAGATTAATAATACCTACAGAGTGTCACCATCCCTATTCATCCCGTGGCTGTCGTAAAAGCCGACTAAGGAAGCAAACTGCACAGCACTGCAGAAGGAAGGAAAACTTGAGACCAACCCTTACCAACCCGTCAGGCCAGCGTGGTTCAATAGGCAAAACTTCCTTTCTCATGTCCAGCAGTGGACTATTAAAGGCTGTTGATGATGATGTTGACCCGTCTGCTCGTTTATCCCCTATACTTTAAAACTTTTAATTGGCTTTCACATGACAGTATTGTATTAAATTATACCTCTAGCTGTTTCCTAGAATATTCAAATAAAGAAAACAGGAAAAAGATCCACCTTCAATGGAGCTCAGACATAATGCATATGATGAGACGTGTAGCATAAAACACATACCCTCAATTGCGCTAACGTAGACATTGCAGCTTTGGTCCCGCTATCAATGTAGGCTAGTGGATTATCACTGAGATCCAAGAAAGTCAAATTATTCATGAATCTGAACATGGACTGAGGCAGAGAGTAGATGGCGTTATGAGAGAGGGTGAGGTCTTGCATGTGTTTAAAGGGACGAGGGGCTTTATAAAGATCCAACGGTACCTGAAAATATACACATCATATTCGTGAGTAGGTCATATGGCATATCTATAGTCGAAGAGTAAACCATATTGCCTCCAAGTGCAATATCTGAGGCAATAATATTAGCCTAATCGGTTTTTGATCAGGTCGCATTACTGATTTGGTGTGAAGGCATATTATAAAGGGATGAAATAAAATGTATTATATCCATTGTCCTGTAATGTAATTTAAAGGAAAGTTGATGTTTCTCCTCTAAATCAAGTGGGTTCTCTCCATCACCCTCCATAAAATTGGGAAATGGTAAAAAGATGATGAAAATAACGTAGATTTATCACATTATGCAAAAAATATATGCTTACAGCCAAGTCTTTCAAATCTGATGCTGAAATTCTGTTGTAACTTAGATCCAGAGTTGTCAATTCTTCTAAAGCGGTAAGAGCCGACGTTTCGAAGTGATGTATGTAACAACTGGATAAATTGAGCATTTGTATCGGTAACTTTGGAAATCTTGCGACGCTTTTTAAAGGATTTCGACTCAGATCCACTATTACCGGGTCAAAGCGGGCGAGACCTGGAAATCAAAAAAAATATCTTTAATATTAGCAAAGTAAAAAGAACAGAAAGTATAAACTTTAGTAAAAATAAGTAGGTAGTAGTAGTAGTAGGTATAAATACAAAAAACACATCAAACAATAAATTAAGACAATTAATTTCTGTATTTATTAATTAACAATACAGAAACATCAAACGAGCTTTATGCTGAGTAACATATGACATCATTCATTTGTTACACACTTCCGTCCCTATTCACGAAATCACACCCACAAAAGATGTTACATATCGAAGAAAATGTAAACAGTCTACATGAAGTTGATTAATGATGATCTTTTCGTAAGGTTATCTTTTAGTATTGGGAGCCTTTAGTCCGAGGAAATGCCCTTAGATACCCCCACCGGACGAACGGGAGGATTCTTACGTCGGACTTGGGCCAACTAATAACTGCACGTCGTCTAGGGTACCGGTAGCCTAGACGACGTGCAGTTATTAGTTGTAGTAGTTGTAGTAGCCGGGGATCCAGGTGCAACCTAGAAAGATAATCCCTGTTACCCCGGGCCATCTACGGTTTATGGATGGCTCCCCTCGTGCGTGGGGACCACGGTGTCCCCTTCATACTTCTAAAAGGGAGTATTGGGGGCCTGATGAGAACTAATACAAGTATTCCGTCACCCCACCGGGGTTTGCGACGGTGTGGTGTGTCGTAAACGGACCGACTAAAACCACACGGTGTGCCAATCTGCGCCTGTAATAGTAAGGATTCAGGAACCGTTGTTATTGAGAGATCCGGGCCCAAGTATTTCTATATCTATCTCAAACACTAGTCTCTCATTATGTCTTGTTCTATTAAGTAATATTAAGCGATTATAGTCTAAAGGCGTTGAGATGAGAAAATAATTACTACTATACCTGAATGGTCAAGCTTAAAACTTTGTAAGTGGGAAACGTAACGTAAACGTAACGTGCGTAACGTAATTTTGACACACATTTTGCCTACGGCTGGAGCGATCTTATATAAGATAACTTGATAGATCTCACTTACCCTTCCGAACTTAAATTACGGAGAGCATGTGTTGTGGTAACAAGGCTATTGATCCTTATATATTACGTATTTGGAAATATACATAGTATTATAGATGAATCATACTTATCAGACACTTATTTGTCCTGGTAGGATTGCTACCTACAACTTATAACTTAGCTGTTAGAATCACTAACCACTTGCCCAACACGACAGTCAGGAACTTATATCCCTATGTTTGTTCCTCTGGCCGTGGCTTAGATTAGTGTTTATTAGTACACCCACTCACACCAGTTTGCCCGAATGGGTAGACAGCAGCGCATTAATAAGAAATTAATCAAGGTCAACCGATGGCTGTTGGCTTGACCTCTATTATGTAAGTGGCACTAAAATTAGAGTCCGTAAAATAAGTGCACTTAATTCGCCTCTGTAATTTTACATAGGTTCAAATTGGGCATCCGTGTGGTGACGGATTAAGGAGACAGAGTGTCACCGTCACAATGAACGGTCCGTTCATCCCGTGGATGTCGTAAGAGTCGACTGAGGGAGCAAACTTCACAGGTCAGCCTTGTAAAGGGCAAGAAAACTTGACACAAACCCTATACCAACCCGTCTGGTCAGGGTGGTATAGTAGGCCAAAACCTCCTCTCTGAGGAAAGGCATATGTCCAGCATGGGCCTATTAAAGGCTGTTGATGTGATGTGATGTTAATTGGGCATGTTGGTAAAATATAAACTTTAATTCAAAATTATATGGTATAGACTTCCTCTACTTTGTAAAGCATTAAGGAGATATTAAAGGTTTCTTTCTATAGTTAAATTTAGTGACCCGTTTGGGAAATTAAACCAAATAAATTGACGTTACGAGAAAAGTAGCTAGGGTGGTGGATGAGGAATATGTCACAGGACTATGGCACACAATGTAAGAAGTCTACGTTTAGCAGTAAACTGATTTAACAGATTGATTAATTGATTGAAACTTCAGAATTGCTAATTTCTATTATCACAAATTAAAATATTGCACTTAAATATTTTCTTACCAGTAATAAATAGTGAAGTTTGATAACGTACCTTTCCAAGCAATCATATCAAATGGTTTAATTTTCTTGTTACTGCAGTCTACAGCGCCATCTGCGCAACTACACACCCTGCATATAGCATCTGATTGGTTACCAAACAGTATAGGGTGGAAATCTGGAAATTGAAAACACATTAATAATAATAAATTTAATGAATTAATTGCAAAGAGCCTCGACCGACATGTTCAGAGGCTCGTGTTAGGCAACTGGATTAAGGGCCTGATACAGATAGCAGTACTTTTCGATACGGCACTAATTGTGAGGTTTTTGTTGCTGGAGTCCTAACCACCGGCATCTTGTTCCCGATAACAACAACAATAAGGGTAACGATGGAACATTATTTTTAATATTTTTAAATAAATTATTTTATGTGTGAATCAAAAATTTATTTAAATATGATATTTAAATATGAATTTAATAAAATAAAGAGAGTAATAATAAAATCTTTATTGGAAACTAAAACAAAAGAAAACGGTAACGTTCTGTGCGAAAATGTCTGTTTTAGTTCAAAAGCACTGTGTCGCGGCCATTAACGCCACCTCCAGCCTGGGGCCATCAGAGTTCCATCAACAACAATGTACACAAATAAATATACAAAACATAGGTATATTTATAAATATCACTAGTTAAAGAACTGGCTCAACGTCTGATGGATACTTCTCGTGAGCAGAAGCACTACTTGGACAATGTGATGTCTCAAATTGCGTGTCATACCAAAGGCCTAACTTCTTCTATGCCAGTAACTATTTAATAAACCATTTGGTTTCTTCTCAATTAGATAAATGGGATTTGACAAGTTTTAGCTAGAGTTTTGCTAATAAAATGTATTTATATCTGTTACTGTGGGCAAAACGTGTATACACCGTATGTAGGTACTTCATTTTTTTTAAATTAGTAACTTGTATTTTTGAGGTACCCTTCTCAGGCCTTCACCACACCGGGGTTTGCGGCGGGGATGGTGTGTCGGAATCGAACCGACTAAACCACACGGTGTGCCGCTCTGCGCCTGAAATAAGAGGGATCCGGGAACTGATGTTATTAAGGCATCCGGACCCACTAACTTGTATTACCTCAGCCTGTGACACCTTTGATTCAAGGCCTAAACATTAAGTATAAAACATAGTTATCAGTCTCATTGCCGGCAGGATACGCTATTAACTGTACAACATTCTAAATTAGTCATATAGATAAAGAAAAGATATAGAATTTGAAAACTGCTTCAATACATAGTTTGCGTTGAAATAGGATTCAAATACTACGTACGAGTACGAGTATATTTCAAGACAGGGAGCAAATGGTTTGAAGAATGTTGAATACATCATCGGTAAAAATCCTGGATAAAATGTTTTTATTTCTTAATTTTTTTTATCTGATAGGGGGCGAACGAGCAAACTTTCACCTGATGGTTACTACTGCCAGGCATGGACTCAAGAGTGACAAGTGAGAGGCATAAGAGAATAACACTAGCGACTGCACGAATGGCGTAGTGGTTTAAGCGGTCACCTCGCCACTTCCTACTGCGTCTAGTGTTGTGGGTCCGATCCTCACATGGGACAACACTGTGCGATCCACAAATTGTTGTTTTGAGTCTGGGTGTTCTTTGTGTCCATTTACGGTATGTTTGTAAAGTACCCCGCGATAAAGGATATATCCCAATGCGGCAGTTATCTTTTAAAAAAAAAAAAACGATAAGAATCAGGGCGAGAGAAGGCATGGGCTCCAAAAGATCTTATCATCGGTATACTCTGACACCGTAGTATCTTATTTACAAAAAAAAAACAAATACCTTTTTTTAAACTCAATAGTTTGCCTGGGGCTAAAGTTATTTTTGTCGTTGTCTTCAGTGTACGGGCTAAAAGCTTCTTCAAATGCAATGGTGACCCTGAATAAAATAGAAATACATTAAAATACATTAGTATCAACTGACACGATACGCTAAGATACTTAAATACGGTTAAAATAAATTATTTAACATTCCTCCAATGAAAAGTGTTAAATATGTTATAATGTATTACAATCATCATTCATAAACAATATGACGATAGCTTAGTGTGACGTCAAAATTTGTTATTCGACACGTTTTGACGTTTAATATAAGTACACCGATTTGATATTACAGTCAACTGCAGGGTTCATTATTTAGAATTAATCTTAATAGTTTATTTCCATCAGCATCCACTTCAATTGATTAGAGAAATATCACTTCTAGCACATGTTTTCAAATTGTTTCTTATAAAAAATATACTAGCACATGTTTTCAATAACATTTTAAAGATCCATAGAATCACATACTTTTTCAATTGTATGACAAGTGTTTTTGATCAGTATAATTGGCAGATATCACGAATAGGACAAATTAGCTAAAGGCTCATTTTGGCGATAGGCCGAATTTAGAGGGGTCTATGGTTCTAGTAGGTTTATATAAAAGTGTTTTCAACTAGAGATCTGAAATTCAGAAGGGGAAGAGTTTATAAACAGGAAAACAGCTTTAAACGAATTTAACGACAGGGACGGTTTAAAGCCTGAAATGAGAGTCCGTAGTTTTCTAAACTAAAGATCTGAAAACTGAAGTCGGACGGCTTTTGCAACTGCTGTGCAGTTTAGCAGAAATATCAAATAATTGTAATATTAAAAATAAAATAAAAAACAAAAAAACTTTTTGTGATGCTTTTTCTTACTAGAGATATAAAGTTATTTTAGTTCTCAATCCAAAATTAAACTAATAGGGTATTAAAAATATGCCTTGCAGACTCAATTTGTCAAGATTAGAATAGAATTATTGTTTCTTCTGGGTATTCTTTTGTTATTTTTTTTCTAACTAATAACAGCTCTTTTGAAGCTATTCATGGATAGGTTAAAATCGTCAAGAAATTCTACATAGTTATGTTATCATTAGGGGCAGAGCAAAATTACATAACGTACCTTTCTTCGAGAACAAATTTACCATTATCTAAGGAGAAAACAATAAATTTTACGCAACGAGCCGCAGGTAAAAGCTGGGCTATTATTAACCCAATATTAAGATATATTTTTTATTATTTAAACTTTCTAGTCAACGAATCATTTCAGCACTTTTCCTGTCTTAGAACAATTCTCATTATACCTTAACCGTTGTGTCAACGTCACCAAACTGCAACGTCAAGAGTCACAGGTTCAAGTCCCGCTCAGTGCAAATATTTATAAGCATGAATATTATATCTATCTGTCTATATTCACAAGTCTGGGTATTTCTTTTCATACCTACCTATATAAGAATAAAATACAAGCATTGACATGTAGATCTGATAGAGTTATGTAATATGTCCCAGATTATAATTGTTTTATTTAATTAGATATGTAATTTATATTTTAACATTAATTAAGATACCTCAGTAAAAATAGATACGTAAACTCTTCAAAAGAAGATTATTTTGAAGAGTTTACGTATCTATTTTTACTTAGGTAGGAGAGACACAAACCAACTAAATTTTTTTATATATGTACATAGAAATTTATATAAAAAAAATTTAGTTGGTTTGTGTATGCTTCAAAAACTCAAAAGGTCGAACACCGATTGAGCTCAAATTTTGATACGATACACAAACTGCTTCAAACATAGTTTTTATCTGTTTTTCGAGTCAGTTTTCTTCCACATTTCCCGTCAGTTCATCCACAATGTACCACAGCAAAGTGTGGCAGGGTACAGGTACAGTTATTAATATAATAGCTATTGATGGTGTTTATGGGTTCAAACCTAACCTCTTATAGTTTTGAAATGCAACCACAACCCGCAAATATATTGCCTATACTATATTTTATATATTAGTTATAATTATGCCAAAAACCTTATACAAAATATTTCTAAGTTTAAAGAAATCGAGATAACATTATTTCTTATCATTCTTACACACTTATATGTAACTTTTTTATCATATATTTATAAATATGTACACCATATTTACATTAGCTGGTATGTGTGTTCAGTGGTTAGCGACCCTGACTGTTAAGCCGGAGGTCGTGGGTTCATTTCCCACCCAGGACAAATAATTGTGTAATGAGCACGATTATTATTTGTTCTGTGTTTGAGTGTAATTTAGCTATAATATGTGTGTATTTAGAAATATATAAAATAGTTTATCAGCAGTCTGGTTACCATAGTACAGGCTCTGCCTAGTTTGGTATCAGACGGCCGTGTGTGAGATGTGGGAAGATATTATTATTAGATTCACAAAACTATTTAAAACTAAGGTTGTAAGTAGGTACTCGTCCGTATGATGCGTGATAAATATGTATTTAGTGCGCGATGCAAAAATTGCAAAAGTGTACATAAAAAAATAACATAAAATAAAACCGTTTTGACAAATACCGTTTTTATGAATACCATGTCTTCTAGCGGCTAGTGATTTTTTCGACGCAGAACGGTAGATAGGTCGAGGGTGTACACGTGTACGAGGCTTCGATAGAGGAAGACACCGAGGCGAAGAAGGTTCTAGATAAAATAGAAATGATTAGAAAGAATAGCCACGGGAGATACCCGAAATCCCTTAGAAGAAACAATCCCATTGTTAAAGTGAGAAAGAGTATGCAAGGACTTATAGAAAGCGTGGTTTTATTTTAGATTTGGAAATTCATGATTTTTAATTAAAAAATCTTACAACCGGTTTCTAATCTTGAGATGAGAGAAACTATAGTAATTTAGTATATAGGTTTTTTCTTAAATATACGCCTAAATAAAGAAATCACTGAAGTTCATAATTTGCTTAGTTTGGATATAAATAAAAAATATTTCCTTAGAAAAAAAGTTCATCAGTTCAACGACGTCCGTTTTTTGAACTATAATAAAGTTTTTTTATTCTAAACCTGTTCTAAAATATTACCACACGTTTCCATAACATTTTGTATAAATTAGAAGGCGAAGAAATTAGTTTTTGTGTTAAACAGCACTTCAGTGACTCATATTTTTTTTGGTTGGCAACTGTCTTTTAGTTACCAAACAAATATTTTATAAAATCAAGAATTATGGCATCTTTTTACAATTATTTAAAAAAAAAGTACTGTTATTATGTATTTTCTACGGAATTCTAGCAAATTAGTCAGTGGCTGTTTCTTGGCCAGCTACGCTAATCTTTTCTCTATAAGCAAACTACTCTAAGGTTTCCATATTTTATTCTACAAGTAATTTATTAGTGCAATCAAAACATTTAAATTGTTTGGTTTCAAAACACAAACAGTGTTTTAATTTTAATTATGGTGATGCAAAAATCTAGTCATATAAGAATTGATTGCATCCTCCGGAGCGGAGATGCAAGTTGCAAGCTACCCATACATTATTTACGCGACTGTCTAAAACAAGAATATTTTTATAAGGATTTATAAAATAATATATTATGAATGTGAGAGTCTTTATTTGCCCTAAGTACTAAATGCGTGAACAGATTAATTAAGTATATGGGTATCGTTAGACTCCTTACATCATCCCGAGTGACACTGGCAATTACAAAGCCATTTAACAAAATTCTAAGTTGAAACTATTATTATTGACTATTATTAAGTATTGGTTATTTTTATTAAATTCAATATGGCGGCGGTCTGCCTAAATTATTTTAACTTTTACAAAAATATTTTAGGTTGTTAGTTGAATTTTAGTTCAGTTATTAATTTATCAATTTAATTTTAGTGTGCTAAGTGCGTTTCAATAAAAAATATCAATCGTCAGTGGATACCATTTTTACTATTTTGACATCTTCTAGCGGCTAGTGATTTAATTGCGGTAGTAGGGAGCTTTGTGGTCGGACGTGTAGTCCTCCTTCGCCGAAGACAATTTTTCGACGTATCTAGATAAATAAATAAATACTAACTTGTAAACTTTCTCAGTTAATATATAATTTTTACTGACGAATAGAAACTGACGTGATTAAAAAGCATTCAGTACATACTTTTGAATTCTGGCGATTCCAAAGACAAAGTATTTTATTGTGGATCATAGGATTACCGGTTATAGGATTCCGATAGGACAATATTAACGATTTGATCGTGCCCTGAGTCAGTATAAAATGTTCGTTAGTAATAATTACATGAAGTCTTACTTATATATATATACATATATAGTACGCGAAGCCGCGGGTATAACCTAGTTGATAATGCCTGGTATTTGTAAATTAGTATGATTAAACTCTTTTTTTTTATTTTCTTCAACTATAATACTAAGAATGTGAAAGGATAGTTTTTTAAGTCTCTGAAGTGTAAACATTTTGCCTGAGATTCTAATTCATTTAAAGTATACTTAACTCCGAAATACTTAACTTGACTACGAGTGTTTCGATTATTTTGTGACGATTGTCAAACTAGACTAATGTTTAATAGATATTAAATAATTTTTAATAGATTCAACAATTGAAACATGCGGATTGCATAATAATCTGAACAGAATTGCAAGTATAATTATGATTCGATTAATCGAGTCGAACGGAGATCAAATGTGAAATCTTCTTGATTTGAAACTATACTGGGGCTTCATAATATTAGCGAGCGATATTTGTGCACGTTAATTAAGCCGATAAGTCAAATATATACCGTTCTTTTGGCATTTTTTAACGACGATTGTCTTTTTTGTGGTAGTGGTGAGCGTGGTACTTGTAACTGTGGTCTTCTTCCTTCGTCGTAGACAACGTTTCGAAGAAGAGTCTAGATAAAATAGAAATACGACAATATATAAGATCACGTAAGATTTTATTTGTTATTTAGTAAGTGCTGCTATAATTTTTAACCGACTTCAAAGGAGGTTCTTATTTCAGTTGTATATGTTTTATTTTTCCTTATAACAGAACTCCGTGATTAAAAACACGGTGTATTTAAATCGATTTACATACCGATTTGGCAAATACTTTTTTATTTGGAATAGTA